ATTGCAAACATCACCCAAGGTGGTTCCCTCTTAGTAAGGGTATTTAATATATTCTTATACATTTGTCAATGTGTGTTCATAGCTGTAGGACTGTTTCCCAGAGGGTCTCAATGTTAATTGCTAATGCTGAGGTGTGACATTGGTAATAACAGAGGTCTGACCATAAGGTTTAAATAGTTCAAACAAATCTAATAGGACACCCTTTTCCAATAGCCCACAACTAACTCACTAGAATGCCTGTAACCACATAAATTTCTACGCACTGGAACCAGTTACAGGCCCCTTCAGAAAGCTGTAAATGGAAAAAGGGGAATGTCACATGCCTTCCAGTGTGATATAGAAAGCACAGGTAGTGTAACATATGTGTTTATTTGGCATGGAAATGCTTTGAAACATTTTTTTTTTTTAATGAGGCAAGTTACTGGGTGGTTTGGGGTCAGACTGTGCTCAGGATAAATTGCAGATGGGTCCGAGAGCCATGAAGGCAGACGCTTGCAGCAAGCAATGACCGTATGAACTGAAGTTCCCTGCAAAACCCACATCTGTGTTAAAGATTCTGCAGAATGAGGGAGCGATTAGAACCTCTAGTTGTGGAGAGCTGGAACACTGTATCAGAGCCAACATTATCTTGGGTCATCGTTCGCACCCTTAATTGTTATTCATCACCCACCTTTGTATCTGGCCTAGCACCCATCCCTTTGACTACCAGGTAAAATCTTTGGCATGCCTAACTTAGTTGTAACCAGCTTCCAACAATCCAAAGCTAAGAATATCATCAGAGAACACCTGAAACCCATCACAGAGACTTCCCTACTGTATTGACACCTGCCTGCTTGATGTTCCCAACTTGCTTCATGACTGTGTTTTATTATGCGACTATAAAAATTCGTGTGACTGCTTTCACAGTGGACCGTACCATTCAGAGCATCCTGAGTTCATGGGGCATTGTCACAAATAGCTGGCTCAGAACAAACTATCACTTACTCCCTTGGGTGTATAAGCTGCATTTTGCCATGACATGACACCACCAATAAAGGCATCCGATAGTGTTATAACTAAGAGCATATCCATTAAAACTCTTCAAAATCCTTTCTCCCTGAGTAACACCTGAATAGCATGCTCCTACCACACAAGCTACTACTTGCCAATCAAATTTCTGAACAGCTTGCCCTTCAGTTATCTCTGCTACACCCTAAATATTCCTAGGATCCCCACACACCTCTACTCCTGATGAGAGAAGCCTCTGTCATACAATGGGCACAGTGGGTAGTGAAATGTGCAGTTGTTAAGAAATGTCACAACTTCCCATTAACTGGGGGAAGAGATGATGGGTGTTCATTCAAGCCAACTGTGTTTGTAGAATGGAGGGCTTTCCTGGTTTTTTACTAAATTTTATTTGTACTTGGCATATTATTTGGAATACTTTAAGCTACTGAAGTGCCCAAGAGTAAGATGCACGGTAGAGTACTCAGTCAAGCCACCTGAGGCGGAGCTTCACTGATAACAGTCCTACCCCTTGGGCCATTATCCCCAGAAGTAGAAAAGCAAATTAATCTCTAGGATTTCATAACCCAAGCATCAGTAAAATTTGATTTTTCTAATGGTACATCAGAATCTGAAAGGTATGTGATGCAAAAAATCTTTGCTCTGATGGTAAAACGTTAGTTGGGGGCCAGGGAGAAGGCTCAGTGGGTAAAAGTCCTTGCTGGCCAAGTGTAAGAACTTGAGCTCAAAACCCCAGGACCCACATAAAAAGCTAGGTGTGGTCATTCACACACTGGAGACAGGAGAGTCCCTGGATCTTACTGGCGTTCAGCCTACCTCCAAGCTTAGAGACAAACCCTGTTTCAGGGAATAAGGCTGAGAGTAATAAAGCAGGACACACAATGTTGTCTTCTGGCTCCCACACCTGGACACCAGCTTGTACACCACACATACACACACACACACACATACACATCCATTACTATACATACTCATTCTCTCTCTCTCTCTCTCTCTCTCTCTCTCTCTCTCTCTCACACACACACACACACACACTTGTCCATATACTATACACACTCATTCTCACAAACAGAGAAATATATATTAGTCAAGAGAGGGTCTCTACTATGCGTCTGGGGGAGATGCCAACTGCATTAGTTATGTTCCTCACAGTTATGACAAAACACCTGACAAAAGCAACTGAAGGAAGGAAGGGTTTGTCTTGGCTCACAGTTTGAAGAGCAACAGTCCATCATGGTGAGAAAGAGTCATGTCAGCAAATAGTTCAAACCAAAGGGTCACACTGCATCTTTAGTCAGGAAGCAGAGAACAGGCAGAAGGTGGAGGCAGGCTAAAAAAACTACCAGGACCACCCCTTGTACTCATTTCCTCTAGCACAGATGCACCCACTAGTCCCATGACCTTCTAAAACAGCATGTTTAGCTAGAGACCAAGAGTCCAAACACATAAGACTATGGGGGCCATTTCATCCAAATTGCAGCACCGATTGTGCAGAAGATGGCTAAATCTATGGTTCTGTCCCGGTCAGCCATCTGCTAGAATGCTTGCATTACAGGGCTCCATTTTCCATGAGCAGCCCTGGCAGCATATCTGACTGGCTTCATAGAGGAGGATCTCATGGGAAGTACAATTTAGACTTTACTTCAAACTACCCTGAAGATCAATATATCTCAGCAATGTTCCCCAAAGCCATTGCACATAACCTGCCATTGTGCTGTAGGACTTGGAGAAGGTAAATGTCCTGTCAGCCACAATCTCTTTATTATTTTTAAGAAGCGCTGGTTTCCATTACCAGAAGCAGATAAGGAACACTAACACCCATTTGTCATTCAAAACAGACAGCTTACTTCGCTGGAGTGAATCACACCCATACTGTAGTGAGCTTGGTTTCCTTCCTTCTTTCTTTTTTGTTGTTGCTGTTTTATTAGGGTCATAAAGTCACAACTCAAGGGCAGGGGAAATTCAAATGTGTTCCCATTGAGTTATTCAAATCTTGAATAGGGTTGGGAGACAACTTCCCAGTAGTAACTTTGGCTTTCTAATACATCCTTTTGCCTTAAATAGAGACATCATTTCTCACCTCAAGTGATAATTGCTGTGTACATCATCATTCTAGAGATTTTAGCTCCACTTTCAGGCAGTCATTCCTTACCCAGGTTTTCACAAAAATAACTTACCTCACAAGATGTAGACAGGTTTGCACGTGGCAGAAACATGCCATTTAATTAAATGGAAACCGAGGCTGTTGAAATGGCTTACTAGTTAAAAATGTGAACTGCTCTGTGGAGGACCTGAGTTCAGTCCCAGCATCCATATCAGGTGGCTCACAACTGCCTGTAGCTCCTGCTGCCAGGGATCCAATGTCCTCTCATAGCCTCTGTGGGCACTTGCAATCATGTGGTATGTACAAACACAAATAAAAAAAAAATCAGTGTTCAAAAAATAAAAGAAGTGACAATCCTAGGCAGCAGACTGGCAGCTGCCATCTATCCAGGTCCTGTTCTTCTCACTGATCTCTATGTTGGAAATGCCAAGTTATCATTCACCATTTAGAGTTTCCAAACCAACAGATGGGGAAGCATACCTCCCATGAATAGCCCTAGACGCTTCAAAATTAAACACCATGAACCTTCTTTACTCAAACTGTTGGTCCTGAAGTTTGCCTCATCTCTCCACAATATCACCAGCCATTTCTTAGATTGAGTCATATGAGAAATGTGTGGTCTGAATGGTTAGATATTGACAATTTTAACCGAATCAACCAAAACCTGGCTGAAATCATTTTTTTTACCCCCCCAACCCAATTTCAGCTCCAATAGGAGCTGGGAAATCCATTTGTCAAGCAGGTCTCAAATCCATCACAAATGCTTGTCCTCATCAAAACACAACCTGGGTCATCCAGTTTCCATACTAGATTGCACTATGACTTCCCACTGCCTTTAAACAGAGAGCAGACATCTCACGGGGCTTTCAGAGCCTGCAGTTGCAGCCCTGCTGATATCTTCGGCCTTGCCTCCCTCTCTGTTCTAGTCCACGGACCTTTATTCTGGGACATATACGTCCTTCCAGATCGGGGCCTCTGCACACATAGTCTCTTGCCTGGGCCTCCCTCTCTCAGGACTCCCAAAACTTCGTCACCCAGTAACCTCACTTTATTTGTGTGTCTTGCCACAAATGGTCTCTATAATCACTTCCAGGACACAGTGGGATTGTATATGACATACATCCATGGCGCTTTTTCTCTGCCTCGGTCCTGATTAGACTTAAGCTCCTGTCAGACTTAAGGTCTAGAAAGCAGGACCATGGTCACCTAATTGACACTATATCAAATGTCTATGGAAGGCATGGATCCCTCAGATACTAAGGTTGCAATTGGGAGTGCAACTCCCTCCCAGTTTAATGCCTCAGTTTTGATGGGTCCTTTCATATTCCCCCCTCTATTGCTTTTTCTCCCTCCTTCTCTTTTCTGTTGTACCAGGAACAGAACCCAGGCAGGGCCTAGTGCATTGTAGCCAAATGCTCTCACTGAGCTATAGCCCCAGCCTACATTAAAGATTTTCTTAAAAAACAAAAGTATTCAGTTAAAAAAAAATTCAAAACTGAAAGGCTAAACAAGACTCTGGACCCTTTATGAATGTCTGGGCACAGCTAGTAGTAGTTAGTGTGGTTTGAGAAACACTAATAGAAGCTAACATTGACCAAGTACTATGAGCCATGCACAAGTAGAAAACTGAGGCTGAGGTTTACAAGGCAGTAAATGTTGAAGTCACAGTCACAAAGTCCCTTGCCTAAGGCATGCTTTGGTTGCTTATACCCAAGGAAGAGCCTTCTAGATCCTCCATCTGCACACAGCAGGCTCACAGCATCACCACTAGAACCGAAGGGGAGCACTTTTATTGCCCCACAGTAAGGGTCTCTAACACGCCTCGGCTGATTTCACTGTTTTCAGGTGGAAATCTCTCCCAAATGCATCTTGATAACAACAGGGTTCCTACCGGAAGGAAGAGCCTCTGGGCGGCACAGGGCTTGAATAATTTCTTCCACTCCTGGGGGTTTCCAACGGAAAATGTGATGGGGTAAATTCTGTGCTCAAACTTCTTTGTATATGAGTCGGGCCACTGGCGCAACTGCAAAACATGGGGATACAGAAGGGTTAGGGTTAGACACAGAGATAAACGGAGAACACCTGAGAGGCCTCTGGCTGGCACAATGGAAATTATCCAGGCAATTCACATAGTGAGTCTAGCTTCATCACTGCTCCTACGGGTCACTATGTGAAAAGAACATTTTCCTATAACATTGCTAGGACTGAAAACAAACAATGTTTGCTGAAGGCAGGGGAGTTGGAAACTGGTCCACAGACGCCACCAAGGGGAACCTGGATTTGGATAAAATGCCAAGAGGGCAATTCAGAACAATTCAGAATCTGGTTTAGATCCCAAAGACAGAGGTACAGGGGCTTTCATTACAATGTGGTTTGTGGAAACAAAATCTGGAGAGAATCTAAATGTCAACTTATAAGGAACTGGGAAGTTAAAAAAAATTATGATAGACGTATACAATGGAATAATGCAGAATAAAGAAGATCTGCATGTTTTGATGTGATATATGAAAAAACTATTATATGGTCCAGTGCAGTGGTGCATGCCTGTAATGAAATAGAGAGGCTGACGTAAGAAGAACACAAGTTTGAGGCTCACCTGGGCTATGTGAAATCCTGTCTCAAAAAAGTCTAATATGGCTCCCTCTAATAGCAAAAGTATCCACATCTTCATTCAAGATTTACTTTTTTGTGAATGATTGTTTTGTTTGTAAGTATGTATACACATACTTGTACACACACCTTGTGTGTGTCTGTTGCCTGCAGAGACCAGATGAGGGCATTGGATCCCCTGGAACTGGAGTTATCATTGTGAGCTACCCAATGTGGGTGCTAGGAACTGAGCCTGAGTCCTCTGCAAAAGCAGAAAGGGCTCTTAACTCCTGGACCATTTCTCCAGCCCCTGTCCATGCCTTTTGTATATGGAGAAATTCAAGACCGATGGCATCCTATTTTTAAAACAGGTGGTGCTTATGAGTCTTATTTCCTGTTGATATTTCTGTATTCTTTGGAACTTTTATAGTGAATGTTTCTCTTTGCATATGTTAATTTTTAAAAAGATTTATTCATTTTATGTGTGTAGACAGAAGTTTCTATCCCAACTGGTCCTACAGCCCTTCAGTTCCAAATAAACACACAGAGGATTCTATTAATTATAAACTGTTTGGCCAATGTTTCAGGCTTCTTATTGGCTAGCTCTCTCTTAATTATTAACCCATTTCTATTAATCTACATACTTCCACATGATCTTGGCTTACCAGTGATGCCTGAGCCACTTTCTTTCTTGGCAGCTACATGGCATCTCTCTCTTGACTCACTTTCTGTGTTCCTCCTCCTAGTCTGGTAGCCCCACCTATACTTCCTGGCTACATCCTGCCTGTCCATTGGCTAAAACAGCTTTTTCATCAACCAATAAGAGAAACATATATTCACAGCATACATAAGGACATCCCCCATCATATGTGTGTTTAACTAGTACTCTATTGCTGTGAAAAAAACAAAAACAAAAAACATCATGACCTCGGCAACTCTTATAAAGGAAAACATTTAATCGGGGGATGACTTACAGTTTCAGAGGTTCAGCTCATTATCTTCAAACTGTGTACAGGCAGAAATGGTGCTGGAGAAGGAGCCAAGAATCCTATATCTTGATCCACAAGCAACAGAAGCAACTGTCACACTGGGTGTGGCTTGAGCATATATGAGACCTCACAGCCCACCTCCACAGTGACACACTTCCTTTAACAAGCCACACCCACTCCAACAAGGCCATACCTCCTAATAGTGCCACTTTTGGGGGGCCATTTTTCTGTCAAACCACCACAATGTGTATATGTGTTTTTCCTGTACCTATGCATGTGCACATGCATGCCTGGTTCCTGCAGAAGACAGAAGTCATCGTTGCCCTGGAACCAGAGTTACAGATGACTGTGTGCTCCATGTACATGAGAACTGGATTCAACTCTTAACTGCTGAGCCATCTCTCCAGCCTCTGCATCTGTTCATTTTAAGATAAATTTCTAATGGACCTTATTTTTTATAATACTTGTAGGTTTAGAGAAAAAATGGAGCAGAAGGTAAACACTTACCATCCTGCCTCTCACCTTCCCACACAGTTTATCAGCTCACATTGCTGTGGCATGTTTGTTGCAACTGATGGACCAATATTTACTATTATTATTACTATTACTATTATTATTATTATTATTATTATTATTATTATTATTATTTTGTTTTTTGAGATAGGATTACCCTGTGTAGCCAGCCTTGGCTGCTCTGGAATTTGCTCTGTAGACCAGGCTGGCCATCCACCATCCTTTTCTATACCAAGCAATCACTGATCTTTGTGTCTTCTTTCGAACTCCTGTTTTCTTGATTGTCCTATTACTAGACTCATACAGGCCCCATCACTAAATGCTGGCTTCTTTCACTTAGCACTATGCACTTAAGATTCTACATGCCTTTTTGTGGCTTGACAACTCATTTATCCTTGTAAGACTTTAAAAAGTTTTATTTGTATCAATGAATAACTTTAAATGAACGAGTCACTGGCAACTTCCGGGGTATGTCGAAATAGGAGACTACAATGCAGTCCTTTGTGACCACATCATAGAGCAAATGACAACCTCAAAAGACCAATATCCAGTCACCATACCCAGGAAAGCAATTTGACATTTTAAAGTAGTCAAAGAAATGACTGGAGATGGCGCAGCGGTTAAGAGTGCATACAGCTCTTGCACCTGAGTTCATTTCTCAGCACCTCATCAGGTGGTTTATACATCAGTTGGTTCACAACCATGTGTAACTCCAACTCTAGATGGGAATCTAATGAATCTGGCCTCCACAGGCACCTGTGTACACACACAACACACACACACACACACACACACACACACACACACACACACACATATAATTATAAATAAAATAAATCTTAAAAAAACATCAAAATATGCCGGGCGGTGGTGGCGTACACCTTTAACCCCAACACTCGGGAGGCAGAGGCAGGCGGATCTCTGTGAATTCGAGACCAGCCTGGTCTACAAGAGCTAGTTCCAGGACAGCCTCCAAAGCCACAGGGAAACCCTGTCTCCCACAGAGAAACCCTGTCTCCAAAAACAAACACAATAACAAAAACCCAACATCAAAATACTCATGCGTCATGATAGATAAGAGTTACATGAAACTTGGATTTGTATCCCTAAGTCGTCCCCCCCCCATGCACATTGCTACAGCCACTTTACACTTGATGACAGGGGTCAATGCAATTGTGATAGGTAATGCCCACAAAGTCATAGGTGCAATATAAAACTGGTATTTTAAGAAAAACTTTTCAAAAAGTCACCTCTTGCTTTAGAAGAAATTAGTTATCTATGCATTGTTGATAAAAGAAAGAATATGGTGTATGATTTAATTTCTGATATTCATTGTGAAGATATTGTTCTAGTTTGCTTTCTGTTGCTGTGATAAAGCCCCATGCCCCAAAGCATCTTGGGCAGGAAAGATTTTATTTCAGTTGTCAGGGCAGGAACTCAAACAGGACAGGAACTCAAACAGGACAGGAACCTGGAGGCAGGGACTGGTGCAGAGGTCATGGAAGAATCCTGCTTATTGGCTGGCTCCTCTGTATATGTCACTGTGGCTGGTTTAATAAAAAAGCTAAAAGGCCAGTAACTAGGCAGAATTTTTGGGGCAGAGAGAATGCTGGGAAGAAGGGTGGAGTCGGAGTTGGGAATGTCAGAAGCAGCAGCATGAAAAGTCCATAGATGAAGTGAACAAGCCTTAGGGCAGCATGTGGATGAATAGAAATGGGTTAATTTACGTTATGAGACCTAGCTAAAAACAAGCCTAAGCTATTGGCCCAACTTTCACAATTAATAAGAAGTCTCCATCTGGTCATTTGGGAGCGGATGGCAGGACACAGAGAAACTCCACCTACACTCCTCACGGCTTGCTTAGCCTGCTTTCAAATACAATCCAGGGCCTCCTGCTCAGAAGCACCATCACCTACTGGGGACTGGGCCATCCATTATCAATTATTAATCATGAAAATCCCCCACAGATTTATCTACAGGCCAGCTTGATGGAAGCAACTCCTCAACTGACGTTTTGTCTTCCCAGATGATTCTAGACCTTGTCAAAAAATAAAGAAATAAATAGCCAGCACAGACATGGAATAGAAAAATATGTCAAAACTGTTCTCCTGAACACTGCTGTGGTGGTTGGGTCTTTTTAATTTGTGATTCACAAGTCTATTGGTTATTTGTTTAAAATGTACACACATTATTTTTATAAACACAAACTTTTAGAAAAACTGAGAGTACTTGATAACTTCTGAGTGACAGCTGAAAGAATATAACATTTGATTAATGATGGGCATTGACCAACCTGAACCCACACTAACATTAATACCACAATCAAGCTCACTGGTGCAGGAGAACTGACACACACAGAAACCCTTAGTACAACAGTACCAATCGCTTAGCAAGCACGGGCACACATGTTGGGTACACACTGAGCCCTAACTCAGCCCTCGGAGAAGGTGTGTGGGAGGGTCTCCTTTATTTTGATCCTCAGTATCGAATCTCTCTTCCCAATCTATGTCTTTAGTGAGAACAGCCTCAGTCCATGTACATTCGTTACAATGCACATTTAAATCTATTTCTGTCAGGTTCCAAGCTATACTTTCACTGCATGTTTCTTTTCCATCTCCAGTCTTGTTTTGTTGTTGTTTTTTTTTTACATGAAGATTTTCTTTCTTTTCCACCTCCTTATTCTGTATACCACATCCTCTTTTTTTTTTTATGCTTCTCTTCAAAATGTTAGCATCCATATAAAGTCAAATGCTAACTATCATCAAACTCCTGACTTACAGGGACTCACAGAAAGTTTAACTATGGTTCAGATGATATATTTCAGTCTGATTTTTGACATTCACTACAACGTAGGTATAACTCTTTAAATCATCAATCTTCCATGTTGCCTACACATCTTCTGTCCTCACTATGTCATCTTACTTTCCTTCTG